CTGTAGTCACGTGCAACAACAGACACGAGGAGCATGGCTGCTCTCCAAATGGGTCCCTTCTTTTGTATTGACCCCTAAGGATTGCTAATCCCCCTTTCTAACTCTTCCCCCAAAAATAATATATCGCCCCTTTAAAAATGTATTGACCCACAAATTAATGAATATTCATGAGCACAGAAACTGCTACGTCATGAATAAATTAGCATAATTTAAAAAAAAATTGCATAAAGTGTAGGTACTCCTTCTGGAGCTCTGCCGATTTTTCTAGATATACTGTCATGACAAACATGTAAAATTAACAAATACACAAAGAGGTGTAATATTAGGTTTTATTTTAGGCTTAGATTAAATATTTTCTTTCACTCAGCCCATGCATGGAACTGCCATTTAGCTTCATGGTCATTCAGCTTGGGTTCGCCTTGAGGAAAACAACAATAATTATACAAACCGTAAACACATTGCGAAAACTCAACAATCGGGAAAGAAAACCATGTCGTACTTGTGTTGAAATACATTTTGTATTTCACGTCAGAATATTGTTGAAAATAAAATATTCAATCCAAGCCAAATCGAAGTCAAAGGGTCAGATTGCGTGCATATAATTATAGATAGTTAAAACGAAAAGTATTTGAACTTTTGTCGGCTGTTCAACATTTATAAAAACCAGTAAGACAATTATAAGACAATGTGAACCTTGGAAATTTTCTGCGAGCGAGCGAGCGGGCAGTGATATTCGGGGTTTTTGCGATCGAAAATAAAGCGGAAATTGTCCAGTCGAATTCAACAAGCGGTCACAAAAACGAGCAAAAAAAGGCGAAATCATTGCTCTTGTTCGCACCACGGTTACTAAAAAAGAAACCGTGTTCGCACGCTTGCTACGACGTACCACGCGGCTATCAGTTTTACAGTGAACAGTAATCAAAACAAACTTGAAAATATCTTGTGCACATGGCTTAAACCATTTTCTTTATTTGGAATAACTCCGCCTCCACACCATATTAGTAATATGCAAATCACTACGTCACTTTCGCGGGAAGTCATCACATTGTCGGTTGACACACGGCAGGGCCGTTCTGAGATTTCAAAACATATTTCATCCTGTCTTTAACGCGTATAACATTTAGCCCCGACATTAGAAGGCATTATTTAGTAGCTGGTCGTTAGGCAGACATGTTTCAATAATTATTATATTATTATTATTATATTATTATTATATTTTTCAAATTTGTTAGGCCTAGTTTGAGATTCATTGACCTTGGACATTTTTTGCGTTTATCTCGAAATTGATTTCTACGTAGTTCTACAGATTCACTACGCAATTTCTAACAAACGAAAGGTCAGATCGTCGCCATTTTTGGTCAACTTTACCGCTATATAGAGTACTGGAGGAATGTTCCTGGATTTTTTTCTGTCTGCCTTCGTTTTGATTTTTTGCTTATTTTTATATAGAGACATGTTGTTTTTACTCAGGTATTAACGTCCAAACATTTGAAATAAGGCTACATAAAAACAAATTATAGTTGCAAAAAAACGAAGAACATTGTACATGAAGCACCCCTCTATAATATTTACATAAAAAAATATATTCAGTCGTGCTGCAAATTAATTATTAATTGCGTCATTAACCGTTTTACTCCATTTTCGCGTATTCTTGTGATCACGTGACTTGGTATTTGCATAATTTAAAAAGATTGCCATATTTCCAAAGTTTGAAACAAGATCTTTATTATGGTATATAACATGCATGGGTAAAATGTATGTTTCAGGCTGTAAATTGAGGCCAAAAAATTGAACCAGCGAACGTATGCTAACCCCTTAAGCATGTTTTCAGGTGCAATAACCTCTTCCCTCTTCATACTCAAGAAAATCAAACATAAAGACAGCAGTTAATGATAATAGAAATTGTGAAGTGATAATTACATGACTTACCACTAGTACAAGGAATTTGACTGGAAAGCCACCAAGTGTATCCCCATCTAGTCCCTGTAATCTACTCCTCAATGGTGAAGTGCCTAAAACTGGATCATGTTCTAACTGAGGAGACTGTAAAGGACCCATTGAAAATCTAAAACAACAAGGTCACAACAGTTATACTGTCAGCAAAAGTTATTTAAATTGGGGCTGATTGAGCAAATCTGATAGCTATGGCATTTGCAAACTATCTTAGCCAAAACTTGACATATTTCATTGTTATTGTCATCACCTACAACAAATCTATGATGGTGCTTCAAATTCTGGTTCTATCTAATCTACATATGTAGGAAGTATGTAATATTTTATGTTGACTCAAGACACCATAGCGAAATAAATAAAATAATCATTTTATACAGAGCTCCCATGAAAGTCATAAAAAGATCTTAACCCAACTTTCTGCTTGATGAAGTCTAAAATATGAGAAGTTTTAGTGAGGTCTTTATTTTGTGTCACAATCATCTTCAAATCATTGATTAGAAAATCTGGTGTATGATTGTTTGATGACACTCTAAGAAACTGAACACTTAATCACAAAGTAATCTTCAGAAATGCTCAGTAATTTTCTATTGGCAAGAAGCTTGCAATTATTACATGACACATAGTACTTCAAATGTTAATGGCTTCAATATAAAATATAGACAACAGTACAGCTATATACAGGGGTTTTCTAGAATAACTGCGAGAGGGAGCACTGCAATTCAGCAGCGCCACAAAGTGGGTTCTCCGTATCAGGGTGTGGAGTGGGCCAACATTACTATCGGACAGGTCACAGTTGAAGACTGTGGCCACATGTGATCCCTGGTCAATGAGCTGAATTTTATGGCTGCCAGAGGATTTGCTCCCCTGGGCAAGGGGCGCAAATATTCTTGTATATAGTTGTACATGAGCACAGCCAGAAATGTAACATAATCTTATTGCTAGTGAGACATACATGTAACCATGCTAATGACAAATATAAAGGCTAACATTTATCAAGGTTGAAAGTAGTAGATGAATCATTGTTATATGATTGTTTATGAGTGAGAATTGTGACTAGTTTAAATGCCATAACCAAAAAATAACCATTATGTAACTAATTTGTGCAATGGCTATCACAAGTTGGTACCAATCAACTTGCAGTAGCAAATAAACGTAGCATAAATTGCAGTTGACGGATCTTGTATGCGGATCTTGCCATAGCCATGGAAATTCAACACCCATGATAAATTCAAGACAGTCATTAGTGTAAACCATTATTTTCACCACTAGTAATTTTATAATTTTAATGAGATTACATTTATACACTGTAGTAATGAAATGGATGTGTAGCATTCTCTAATCAGTGGTAGTAACATATCAATAAACCTTTACCTTGGTGGTGTCAAAAAAGCTGACCTGGGTCTTTGTTTTTGAATAAATGCTGCTAATGGCATGGTTTCTTGAAGCTCATTTGCCTGCAACAGCAATACATAACCTGGATTACTTTTGGATATACAATGTACTACAGTGTGTACGCGAAATTAGGGTTACATTTAATTAAGGACACAGAAATAGGTAGGCATACAAGTGCTCTGTGGATATTGATGAATGTGTTGTCTACTTATTAGCTAAAGAATAACATTTCATTAACTTTCAAATGGATGCCTACTCTCAGGTTCCAAATAAATGTACTGGTACGTTTATTTTTTTTCCCAGAAAAAATTCCACCCAATACATTCTTATTTGGGACGGTACTTTTATTTTTATAATCAGGCAGATTTAAAAAAAAATTTCTTGATTTAAAAAAAAAATCAACATCGGTAAACCTCTTCCACGTTTGATTCACCAAGCAGTCGCTGAACTGTCATTCACATATTTAAATGAGCTATGCTAATTTGAACATGTTGGGACCATCGAGCATTTTGATTGGTTAATTTTTCATCTTGACCTATCAGGTCAATAAACAGTTTCAGGTCATGTGCATAGAAAAACATCAAGCGTTTACATGTGACCAAAATCATTCACTTACGATGAAGTTGAATTTTACTTTTACAATTCAACACATTTTTTTTTTTATGTTATTATAATCACTAGTATAATAACTTCAAAAACAAGTTATTCACTTGTGAAATGCAGCATGACCGGATTGCGCTACTGTACCATGATCATTTGCTACTAAGCAATGTGTTTTTATTCAAAACTTCTTTTAGAATATACTTTTCGTTACCAACAAAATAAAAACATGGTTGAACTCTGGTGACCTTGCCCTTTGTTATATAATACAACTCCCTTTAACATATTTTGTTTCAATATAAATATGCATTGTCATAATTAATTTTGAGTACAAACAAGTTTTGGGGTTGAACCAACAGTGGGGAATCAGTCTACCGAATGTCCTTTAAAGATGTAAATATCTTACAAAAACATTGGTGCCTTATTTGTTTAATTATTTTAAGGGACATATTTTCCAGTTTTATTCAAAGTGATTCAGATATTTTAGTATAAAAACAAATGCCTCATCGCAAAAAAAAAAGTGCTGCATTTAGACGTGAATAGATTCATAAAACATGCAAGATAACAGAAAATCTTAGCTGGCTTTTATCCAAGTATTTTGTACAGGTGTCTGTCAAAAATTAATGATTCACTGAGACAAATATGAACTGCCTCATTGTGTGACTACTACTGTATTATATGAAAAGTAAAGAAAAAAACACCCTTTATGAATAGCTATCATGTTGCAAGCTCTGCTTTGAATGCAAATCAACTTAAATAGTTAGTTGGTGTCCAGTGAAAGGAGAAGTCAACAGTACTGAAAATCTACATCTTCAAACACTGCAATCTTTGAAGTGCGTTTTAACCCTTAACATGCTTCAATTTATCTGACCATAACGTTCCCCCCACTGCATTCTTTTCAAAAAAAATAAGACAGTCACTGTGGATTCAATAATCGTAACTTTTTTATTTGCCATGCAAAA